TTAGCAGGACTTTGTGTAAGAGGATAGGAAGGCCCTTCAATGGTCTTCTTTCACTCAAATTACAAAAGGTAACAAAGTACTTTGCTTGCTCTCCTGTGGGATTCTACAGGTATCTCTCTCATCACCACTCCCATTTAATGCATAAAGGAGAGGAGACAGAGTATACTTCTGGTCTGCAATGTCTGGTCTGCACCCAGTTGATGGGTGACATTCAAAGGCACATCTCCTTTAGTTTGCTGTGCTCTCAGTACCTGGAAGACATGGTGACAATTAGGAGAAAACTAACTTGATTCAATCTCAAGCTGGAAGTGACACCATAAAATGGAGAACAATCTGAATAACAGGTAGCAATGGCAGTTTTATTTAACCTTTGCTGATATAGTCACTGGACTATTAGATCTATTGCTGATTCTAGATGCCAAGATTATAGCTGTGGCATGCAGAGCCTTTTACTCTCTTCTACCCTTTCTATAATCTAAGGGTGGAGAAAACAATCAGTTATGTGCACTAGTGTTTGTGGGCTTTGTACAAATAGTGAATCTAGAGACGAATATTAGGCTATGCAGCCCCAAGTGGTCTGGGATACAGGTATCTCAGAGATAGCTTCCCTCCCTATGGTGCACCTGCTGGGCTGTTTTTGTCATGGTGTTTGACCTCCAGAGCACATAGGATTCTTGTCTTGTGCTCCCAATGAAAAACCCATGGTCTCAAACCTGATCCCTCAAGTAGTCTCCCAGAACTAGGGTTTGGAGAGCTTCAGGTTGAAATGTAATACCAGTCTATTTGGTCAGATTTCAGAATTTACCTTTTACTGATATACTACTAGTAGTTAGGTACAGGAATTCCGGAATTAAAATTTTTGCAGTGATAGTCACAAACAGAAGTTTAAGTAAATATCTCTTGACCCCTCAAGTAGGAATATGCCACATATTACGCTCTAATGTTGCAGTCCTAGACTTTAAGTTCTCTCTTTCTGGGCCCGATCTGCACCCAGATTTTGCACAGACATTCTTGGAAACAAACCTTATGTAACAACTTCTTTATTGAAGACCAATAAAAGGTAGTTTAATACTTTCCTTTCCTCTGAAACAATAGAACAGACATTTTCCCTGAACAGACAGCATTCAAAAAACATGATCGTGACTTCTAATTTTAGAGAGACAAGGTGGGTGAGGAAATGGTTTTTTATTTGACCAACTTCTGTTGGTGAGAGACACAAGCTTTCAAGATTACATAGAGCTCTTCTTCAGGACCAGTAAAAGATATCACCTCACCCATCTTGTCTCTCTAATACCCTGGAATCAACACAGCTACAACAATACTGCATACTTCTCATTTTAGGAAGATTTAATAGCACAAACTATTAATCAAGTTGCTTGGCACTTCCCATTGTAATACCCTGCTTTCTGTTGTTTATAACTCTTCCAAACTTTAACCAATTAGGCTAAAATTTTCCATTTCAGGTACTGCCTTAGGCCGAACATTTTTGGAAAGTTTTAGCCAAAATGGTTCAGCTGTTTCCAAGAGCAAGGTAATGAGAAGTACATTGATTTGCAATGTCATAATTATAATTTTATATACACATATACATATACATACACAGGCGAGCCTGTCTCTCCAGCACGCTCACTGATTCCACTGCTGATGCCCAAGCAGCATGAAGGAGGAAGCCGCCTGACTTCTATGCAAGGGGGGGGAAAAGAGCCAGACTGGGGGAAAAGGGAAAGGAGTAGATTAACCAAGCTCCTATCCCAGACTAGGACAGAAGGGGGTGGGAAAGAGAAACTGACTAGAACGGGGAGGAGGATCCAGCCCTGCTGATGTAGGTGTCAATGACAAATTTCTGTTTTTCAGTTTGCTTTTTTAAAAACCTAAAAATCTGCACACAAAAACTACATTAAAAATAGTATGTGATCATGTAAGTAAAGACTCTGATAATATATACATGCAGAAAAAATGGGTGAATTAAGTGTAACTTCTGAGTGCTTGATTTTGCAACTGTAATAAAGTTTTTTAAAGTAATTTTTGGGGTAAAATAGAACAGTTTACAACTGATAAAATATATTAAAGACTGAATGAGACCCTGCATTATTAGCATTCACAATGCTCTTACCGTATATGCTGAAACATCTATCCTAGTAAACAATTATTCTAGATTAAATCTTCATAGGACAGACTTAGGGTATGTCTACACTTGCAGAGTTTGTGCGCTGTAAGTTTCACAGGTGATAGGGAACCGGTGAAGGAAAATCGCTGGTTTGTGTACTCACTTAATTCCTCAGGCATCAGAGAGTGTTTACACTAACAGCACTTCCATCCCAGATGAGAGCAGCGCTATAGGACAGTTATCCCACAGTGCAGCTCTCTCAATAGGTCTTGGGGGGGTTTGGGGGGTGAGCAGGCATTCTGGTCCCTGTTCAGTGCCCCATGATGCACTGCTTCATGTCCCAGCAGTCCCATTACTTCCTTGTTTCTTTCGTGGCATTTTTAAAAAACCCCCTGCTGTCTGGCTGCTTTCCCCGCCATATCTACAAGCAAAGGAAAAGGGAAAGGGAGTTTCAAGCTTCCCGGGGTTTACGGGGGAGGGGCGTCCATTTACCTGGCGTCAGAGAAGCAGAGATGCTAGCCAAAGTGGTCACTTTGGAACTGTGGGATATCCTCTGGAGGCCAAAAGGTGTTTACACAGGTAGAACAAGTCTTCACTTTCACAACAGTGCAAAAAGAACAGTGGAAAGAACTGAATGCCTCTCGTGAAGGTGGTTTTCTTTTTGCGGTGAAACTTCTGAGTTTCACCGCAAAAAGTCATTAACAAGTGTAGACGCTCCCACAGTTTTAGCACAAAAAAGGGACACTTTGTGCTTTAAATGGCAAGTGTAGACATAGCCTTACATCACAACATACAAATGACTGAAATTAAAATCATTCATTCCTCTCTACCAGCAGAGCAGCTATGCTATTTCTCATGGCCCCAACTTCTCTCTCTAGGAAGAGTGGTGGCTGATTGGCTAAAGAGCTTGACTACAATCCTAAAGATCGAGACTTGCTCAATCTCACACTGAAAGGCTACTTCCAGTTCGCCCAGCTGTAAAATGGGTACCTGATTCATTAGATTAGGTCAATCAAAGGCTGCCTTAGGTCCGACACGATGCTGGCCATTTTACTCTCTTCTGTACCACTGGCTATGAAACTGATGTGCCTTAGCCACCTCAGCCCGATGAGCCATTGACTCAGGGGAGCTTTGACACAGCCTTTCCACAGTTTGAACAGAGTCAGCTATTCTTCTGTTCTTTCAAGTCTGAACTATGGTATCTAAAGTTTCAGAATTTCCACATTTTGAAAATTAGTTTCAGGAAAGAGGCAAACGAAACTTAACAGATAACTTTCTGAAAACATTTCTATTTGTATTTGAGGGCAATTAGGGAAGACTGTTTAAACACTTCCAGTTCAGCCAGAAACTCAACTGGCTAGTGTGAGTGAGTGTGATTAAAGCCTTTTGAGAAAAATACTGCATATCATTGTAAATGACTGTTTACCCTTTTCTAAGGAATCCCACTATAAGATTTAACAGGTGCAGTATTTGGGAATACTGAATAGTTACGGGTACTGGTAAGTTCTGTTCCTATTGAAGAGAAAGTACAGAACAGCAAACAACTGAAATTACAGGGAACAGTCATATTCTGCCATAGGGCCTAAAAAGACTCCAGGAATCAATGGTGGTAAGTGTTCGCATCAAGAGTCAGGCGCACAGATGGCCATTTGAAAAGCACCACTTCAGTAATTTTAGAAGTTTTCAGGGAAAGGAATACTTCAGGGCAGAACTTGAAAAAATCCTCTTCCCAAATATAAGTGCAAAGCTCCTTCCAGTAACTGGGGTGGAAGAGTTTAAGCCAATTTCTGAATAATTTAACACTTCATTAAGAGTCAAATTTCTAGCTATTCTAGTTGCAAAGATGTTTCACATGACAACCAAGGACTTGTATACACAACAAAGTTGTCAAGCTTTAATTATACCAGCACAGTTAAAGCACTACAAACCCCCGCTAGCATGGGCGCATTTACACTAATATAAGTGAGCTTATACCACTATATCTTACTTCTATACAAAGTGACCAATCAAATATCCCAGCATAAGGTATTTTTATATTGGTATAACTGCACCCACACAGGTATATCAGTTAAAAAAAAAGGTGTCATACTCCTGATAGTTACCAGTATAAAAATCTGTGTGTACCAAACAAGTACCACTCAGTGGTACTCTTCCCTATCCCCCAGCTCCTTCATGTTATAACTATAGTTACGCAGTTTATCTATCCAGAACGTTTCAGGCAGCCCTTTTCAGGTTAGGCTGCTAAATTATTGTAGTAATCTTGCAGGCTGGACACATCTAAATTTGAGATTAAAAAGTCTAACACAGACAAACCCTTTGAAGTTAATTATATTGAGTTGGCTAATTTCACCTATGAAATTAAAACACTACAGCATAAGTAATCCACCTCCCTGAGAGGTGGTAGCTAAAATAATGGGAGAATTCTCCCTTCAACCTAGCGCTGTCTACACGGGGGTTAGGTCGGTTTAACTGCGTCACTTATGGGTGTGGATTTTTCACACCCTTGAGTGACAGTTATACCAATTTAATTTCCTAGGGTAGACCAGGTCCTAGTTTAGGCAAGGCCTGAGTGTCCAACCCTACCAGCATAATAATAAAGATGTTAAACTGTATTGAGACAAGGTGCTAAGCTTATTACTATTTTTAAACTGGCACTCAGACTAGCTAACTGGATTTAAAAAATATATATAATTCAAAGAAAGAACATTCTGAGTGTGGGAGGTAGGTTGTTTGTTCCAGCCCATCACTCAAAATTCTATTTGTAATTTTGTTTGGTTGAAGGGCTAAATATGCTTCAGAGACATGGACGTAAATCACATAACTTAACCAGCCTCAATGTGCAACAGTAACCCTAAAGCAAAGGAAACCCCAAAAATAAAGGATAAGCAAATACCTTCTGTATTCTCTTTGGATCTTTCTGTGAATTCTCTCTCAGAGGTACTTTTCCAAATAACTTCCAGCCCAAATCATTTTGTTTCTCCAGTCTTGTGTTTTGTTTTCTAGTAAACAAATTCCTACATAAAGAAAAGATTCATAAGGATTAAAAGGAATTTAACATTGACCAGGAAGGTAGTTAATTTGCACACTTTTTTTAGTCAAGCTGTTTGTACTGTCCTGTGTAGTACCAGTTGTACCTGCAGAGGGTACCTGACTTCAGGGCAGGGATTCCCTTCTTTGTGTAGCACCCCAAACAAGCTAAGTACTGAAAGTTATCTCCAACTTTATGTCTTACCTAATCAAGTTCCTAAAAATATCTTCCATTATTGACAAAATAATGTCTAGACTGTGTCTGCACTAGACTATTTCTCTCTCAAATGTCCCACTGTTGCAGCTCCAAAGGGCCTAGTGATAGCAGAAGCGCTAGTATACACAAGTCTCAAGGAGGAATGACAGGCTTTCAAGAAACATGTCATTTAACCCTGCTTACAGCAAGTTTACACAAAACATCAGCAGCTACCAGTACATCAGGCACCATTCAGACTGCACTGATAGCAGTAAGCATGGGAAAGTCCAGGGAAACTGTACTTGTGTATATAAGGCCTTCAATATGGAAGTGACATTATCAAGACTTGTTATAGACAATATCCGAAGTTCCCTCTTTTAGTTTCATCTACATGTGTTGGATGGAATTTTCCCACTGTTGCTATCACAAGTTCAGCTCACCTGGTGGTAACTAACAATGGCAGAATTACTGGCCAGCAGCCTTTGTAAGCGGTTTTGTGTAGACCTTCTCCGAACAGGATTAGATGATGCTGTGTTTTACAGTATCAGCTGGTCCCTTCTTTCACTCACGCTTCCAACATAGTTACCACTGGTGGAGCTGAATTGGTGGTAGCAAGTGGCAGTTGAAGCAAAAGTATCCTAGTATAGCGACAACCGTAGTCTCAGAGGAAATCTGATAAATAATTCATGCATTTGGCTAAAAGGGCATGAAATAGAGTCAATTACTCCAGATGCTTTGAAACAAAAAACCGATACACAAATGAGAAGAAACTCAAATACAAAAATCTCCTGTGCCCTGCATATAAGTGTTACAAAACCAGGATTTTAAATTTACATTTATGGGAAAACGTTCATTCTTCCTTGCAGCTGGTTCACTTGTTTTGCCTGCTGCAGTTGCAATGGAATGTATTCTAGAGTATTGCAGTGTTTAAGGCACCCCTTCTATTTAATTTATGACTGATTAGCTCTTTTAGTAACCTAACCAGCTCAACATCTCCAAGTGCTTTGTTCTCATAAGATATTATTAGTGCAATTATGGAAACTGTTACATTGTAGGCAACCGTATAAAAGTCTATGCCCTATTTGGCCTGCTTCAATTAAAAAACAAACAAACAAAAAAAACCACACACACATTAAATCTCTCCTTAAAGAGGCCAATAGCAGATATGAAATGTACTAATTCTGATGTCTGCTAAATATCTCAAATTAACCAGTTTATTTATATATGTACTATTACATAAGCAAAGGCTATACAATGTAGACCAGTACATGTTCACAGCTAAGTAAACAGTTCTCAGTAGCTTACAATGTTTTATATTGACCTGCCATCAAAAACTGGCAAACTGTCCCATTGCCTTGTTTCTGCTGAGCACATATGAATCCATTATAGGCAACACTGATCCACACATTCCATAACTGATTAATTTGGGGGAAGGCCTAATAATGTCATCACAATGTCTGTGAGTCTGTATTGTAATTGAGCTATTTTTACTGGTTTAGGAATACCTACCTCAAACACAAAAATCTTATTTACAAGAATGGATTACGTGCCTTGATACCCTCAAGAGTATACTTAACTTGAAGGTCCTCTTTGGTTATCAGATTAAGATACAGATAAGATCAAGAAGTTTACTAAGGAGTATGGAAATCACTACTAGTCAGAGGCAGCTGGTGTTCAAAGTAAGTGGTGGGGCCACACCTCCTACGCACACAAGCTGGCCATTTTTTCCATATTGAAAATATGAGACAATGAGGGAAAAGGGAATGTTTTGGTGACAGGTTATGGAAACTGGCTAAGAAAAAGGAGAAACCTAGTGCCCAGTTTCTCATCTTCCACTACCTGTTTACTTTCAGAACGTAAAAAGACATTTTACAATAAATCATGGGAGGGGAGAAAGTGTTACTCCCCAATTCACCCTCCCCACCCCCCACATCCTGTCTACACGCCCATTCATCTACAATCAGGTCTGCCAAGCCAGCTCAAATCCCTCAAACCTCAGCTTGTTGTGGAGTCATCACCAAGACAGCAGGTTGTATTGCACCTGACAGTAAAACAGCAACATTGGTAGCCATGTCATCATCAACAGGGCTTAGTCTCATCATCCCTCAACGATCAACCCTCCCTTCTAAGTGTTCTGATATTACCATCCCTATCAATGTTCAGATATCAATTATCATTCATATCTTTGTCACTGCTATTATTTACAGAAATATCACTCCCAGTTCCAATAATACTGAGCTACAGGCATGCACACCACCACCACCTGACTTGCAACAATAATGACTAGGTAGAATTTACAAGGCAATTATAGAACCATATTAAGAAGTCTGAATACCCTGGTGAGTTAAATAAAGGATTATTGTATGAACCATTAGGGCTCCTACTTAGGAAGAGGATTTCACGGAGGTTGAATTTTATTTACACCAAAATACACCACACTGCCTATAAACAATTTAAAAAAGTCAGTTCTACCTGAGCAGGTAACATAATGGTGAGTTTAATTGGGGAGATATGGACTTTGGAAGAGACAATTTCATACAACACTTAATATTTGTTCAAGAGATGGTGACTATATGAGGATCATCATTTTTAAGAAGATTACTATTGTGGAAATGCAAGAAAGGGACAAAGGAAATACCAAATGTCAGGATCCCGACAAAAGGAAGAAAGGAGAGCAGCAGAATACGGACCCTGGACTTCAGAAAAGCAGACTGACTCCCTCAGGGAACTGATGGGCAGGATCCCCTGGGAAGCGAATATGAGGCGGAAAGGAGTCCAGGAGAGCTGGCTGTATTTTAAGGAAGCCTTATTGAGGGCACAGGAACAAACCATCCTGATGTGCAGAAAGAATAGCAAATCTGGCAGGCTATCAGCTTGGCTTAACAGAGAAATCTTCAGTGAGCTTAAACACAAAAAGGAAGTTTACAAGATGTGGAAACTTGGACAGATGACTAGGGAGGAGTATAAAAATATTGCTCGAGCATGCAGGGGAGTAATCAGGCAGGCCAAAGAACAACTGGAGTTGCAGCTAGCAAGGGATGTGAAGGATAACAAGAAGGGTTTCTACAGGTATGTTAGCAATAAGAAGGCGGTCAGGGAAAGTGTGGGACCATTACTGAATGGGGGAAGCAACATAGTGACAGTGATGTGAAAAAAGCTGAAGTACTCAAAGCTTTTTTTGCCTCAGTCTTCACAGACAAGGTCAGCTCCCAGATTGCTGCACTGGGCAGCAC